CCTCCGTCGGAGGAGGAAGGAGCAGCAGAGACAACATGGGATGATCTGACCGTAACCCCCATTCCCCATCCCACTGTGCCACTCGGGGGGAGGAGGCAGAGAAACGCAAGTGAAGTTGAGAAGAAGGGAGGGGTGGGGGGAAGGTGTTTGAAGATCTAGTTTTATTTCTCATTATCTTACTCTGATTTGATTGGTGATAAACTTTTTTTTCTCCCCAAGTTCAGTCTGTTTTGCCCATGACAGTCCTTATCTCGACCCTGGAGCCTTGCATCACATTTCCTCTCCTCTGCCCAGCTGAGGAGGGGGAGTGATAGAGCGGGTTTGGTGGGCACCTGGCATTTATCCAGGCCAAACAAGACCAGTCTTGTCCTAGATAGATGGTAGGAGCTTTAGGATGAAAAGCAAAAACCAGAACTAACTAGGCTACTGCTTACCTAAATTCAAAACAAAACTTATTTTACTGTAGTGTTCCAGTTACAAGCAGTTACTTTCTTTGCACTTTGATAAAAACACACATAACTGCAGCTGCCCAAAAGTTTGCAAAACCGGTATTTCTGTCCGTATCTTAAAGAATTGCATGTAAGATAATACATTAGAACTGTTCCCATTTTTTCTGTTGTTGTATAACATGCAAATAATCTGTATTTTATAAAAATGAAATATATTTACCCTTTAAACATCACAGGTTTATTGCACGTGCTGCTGTAGAGCCTGCATAACCAGTTAGGCAGCTCGCAGGCAAACAGCCGCCGTGCTGCGCCGGGCAGGTTTAGTCTCAGAGCTGGGGACCTGGTTTTGGCTTTGTGCTGCGTACCGAACGCCTAGAGCAAAGGCAGCCTGCGTTAGACACTGCGCCGGACAGCTGCGGAGCAGAGACGGGACGGCAGCGGTCATATGATAGGAAATAAATACAACAAATCTCTCGTGGTACTAATGCAGATAATACTAGGAACACCAGCTGTTCCTGGTCACAGTGAGGGCTAACTGAACTTTTGCAGTCTTAATTTGACAAGAACTCCTCTTGCATTGGGTTTACAAGCTTTGGGGGTTTTTATATTTTCACTTTTCTATTCCTAGACCTCACTTTCATTTACCTTCTTATTTACATTCAAAGCAATACTCACGTGACACTTTTTCCCTGGAGGTCTTAACAGACCTCCTTTATGTTTCGCTGTATTTTTAATCTCTTTTTACAGGTATGAGAAGAAAGCAGTAATTTGCCTCTGTTCATCCGTTAGACAGTTCCACAGGCAGTTCAGAGGGGCTTTAAAATGTGGATATTTACACTGTGAAATGGATTTAAATGGGTAAAAAAAAGTTTCTATCCTTCTGTCCCCACCCGCCAAACCCTTCCAGCCTTGGTAAACATTGATACTTTATCTGAAATGTATGCACGACTTAAGAAATAAAATGTAATTGCTAATTAAAATGCTGTGTCATTTGAGAATTGGAGAACGTAGTTCCAGGATGTGTTTTTTCCTCCTTCCAAGCAGGGTGGGGCTGTGGCTGTGCCTGGAGGTGTGACATCCAGCGAGCAGATCCGAAGAGGCTGCGATCGCTGCCCATCTCCCGAAGAGCCCCAGACAGCCGCATGAGGCAAGCCGCTGGTGCTCACCGCTGCCAAAACGAAGGACAGGTCAGCCCGTGGTGACTTCCAAAGGTTGGAACTTCTGCAGAACAAACCGGAACGTTCTGTTCGTACCCTGTCCGTTCTGAGGGACTGTTTCCTTCTGCGGTCGTGAGGGCTGGAAATTTAAAACCAAGCTGAACCTGGCAGTAGAAGCTGTTTCCTATGTAATGGCAGCTCTAAAATCTTGTAGGAAAGAGAAAGGATAGGGTGGGTTGGCAAGGCTGTGTGCCAAGGCAGGAGGAATCGTACCCCCTGCCCCGCAGAGCCAGAAGAGAGCGGCGGGTCTGGCTGATAACAGCCTGGTTCCTCATCAGCGCTGCGACGCTCGTGAACACGTCGGCCGTGGGTCCGGGTAGTGGGAAAACTTGAATGGATTTCAGTGGGTCTCCTTAAACTTCAGTGGGTCTCAAGTTTTGGTCACATGGAGTACGTCCTGTGCTGTTGCTGATCTAGATGTTGTCATAGTAGAATAATTAATTTCTCCTCCTATTCCTGGCAAATAGTGCTGTCATATGTGTCACAAATGACGACAGGATGCACAGGTAATCTGCTGAGACTGGAAAGAAAATGCTCAGGGGATTTTGAAATTGTTGATTCAATCCTCATTCTCACTTGCAGTCATAGGTCCTGTGAGATTTCCCAGCAACTGATGATATAAAAGTACAGTTTCTATAGAGGATCCCATTGTATATCCTACTCTATACTGTGAAGTACTTTACAGTAATGAGGAAGGTTGTTTCCAAGATCTCAAGCTACTAGAAAATGTGCCCGCCTATAATACCAGTCAAAAGCTAAAGCTTCTGCTCCACAGCCCAAACTCTTGCAGGGGGGGGGAAATCTTAAGGAAATTAGATGATAAACCCCTGGGCCTATGATAAATCCTCATCATTTAGCGTGGCCATGTGTGCAGTTAAGCAGAAGCTCTCCCCAGGTACTGGCAGGGATAAACGCCTACTACAGATGAAATAGGGAGCGGCACAGTTGTACATTTGAAGAAATAAACAAAGCAATCTCAGCTGAAGTTGTTCCACGCCAAAGAAAGGCCGGCTCATTCAAAGCTGCTGAGAAAGTAAATTGCGGCCCAAACTATGTCTTTTCGAGTTTTTAAGAGCTGAAAAAATGAATCTTTAAAACCTGTAAGCTCTCAACATTAACATAAAGCTTTAAGGGAGAAACCACCTTGATGAGTACGCTCCAGTTCATAGGCTTAGTCATGTTGTGCAATTTTTATGTCACCATGTTTTATACTAAGAATTAGCATTCATATGTTGTTAAATTATTGTAGTATCTACAAATATTACAAGCATAAAAACCCCATTCTCCTTTTCCAGTAATTAAAAATTTACTTTGTAAAGATATAATTTCTTTTGGAACTGACTTCATGGTATAACTAGAAACACAGATAATCACAGAAGAAAGGAGTTAAAGTTATGAGCTAAAAGACATGTATTATTATTTTTCTGATTCTGACACAATTCAGAAGATCATGTAAAATCCTGCTCCAGCAGTCACTTCTGGAGAGAGGCAAGGATCTTGTAGTGCCTGCGGATAGCTGCAGAATCGGGTCTCATCTGTGGTGCGCATAATGTTAATAAATATTAACAACCAAACACTTTGATAAAAAAAAAGATCTAAAACCCTATCTGTTTAAAAACCGTAATGGTGAAACTGGAAGGTGAGGGTCTCTTTTTTGTGTTCTATGCTTTAGGATATGTCCTTGACTGCATTTCAAACTTACCTTTGCGACTGTAAAGGCTAGAAGTGTTCTCGGTGTGAAAGCTGAGGCTCTAACGCTTTCTTTCAAGTAAGGGAGCTGGGGTTTGGGGAGCATTAAAGATGAACGGCAGTATCTAATGAGGAAGCCGTGCCTTTGATCAGCTGCTGTATATTGAATGAATGACCGCAGTCGGTACTATCGAAATGTAGGAAACCTGGTACCTTCTGCCTAGTGGCCTTTTTTTGTGAAAAACATTTGCAAAACATTTTATCTGATCCTTTTGCCATAATATTTCTCACTTAAGCTTTTATTGTCAAGTAACATCAGCAAAAACCAACTGCCATTCAAAACTGTCATCACACGCGAGTTTGTTGGGGTGTAAGCCCGTACCTTGTACCCAGAATGAGCTCTGCGGGAAGCCAGGGAAACATTTAAACCCCAAACCCACATGTCATTTTACTGAGTTTGTTCTTATAAAAATATCTGCATTAATATTGGACTCTATTTTGGTTTTGCTGACAGAATCCAGATGCTTTCCAAAGACCTTCTAAACGATGCGTTCTGGGCTTGGGTGGAGGAGGTGTTCGCCCGCTCCCAAGGCGCGCTTAAAACCTGCTGTTAACTTCAGCAGGCGCCAAGGCAGAGCTCGGGGTGCTTGCGACTGTCCCGCAGAGACGAGGGCGCTGGAGAGGCTTCGGGGCTACAGAGGCTTCCCACTTTCCTTTCTGGGACAGGAGAGGACATGACGGTGTAAAGGAGCGCTGTAGTTTGTAGGACCCGCTGGCAACACGGCGAAGATGGTGTGACATGCGCTATTCAGAGCGAAAAGCAAGTGATTAAGGGCAGTGTCAAATCAGAGTTTCCGTAAGCAGAAAACAGTACTTTGCAAAACGTAAGACAACAGCAAAGAGTATACAGTGCTTTTTGGGGTGTCAAGAGTGCATTTGAGGCCAGCAAAACTTGCTGAAAATATGAGGCAGTTTCTCTTACTGGCAAAAAAAAAAAGCTGAGCAAGCTTTTTGTTTCTTTACGAGGGATTAAAAAATCACTCTTAAGCAATGTACTACAACTATGGGTCTATTACTCATAGCTAAGTTTTTATTGCATTATTACACAAAACCTCTGGGGGTGATACTTTTCCACTACACATTCCAGACAGTCGCATCACTCTCCAGGAAAGCGCTAGTGACGATTTCGCTGGGTCTCTCTCTGACTGCGGGGTCTCACCTAACGTGAAACCAGACGTTGGTCAAAGCAGCCCGGGGGGGCAAGCGACCAGTGACTGCGAAGCAAGTGGGTGGACGCGCACGTTCGGCGCGGCTGAACAGGGGCTCAGGAGGAGGAGGAGGGGTTTGGAACCCTGGGGCTGCCTCCCTGCACAGCTGGGGGTTGGCTCCTCTGCTGGCTTCTGCGCAGTCGCTGGGTTTGAGGCGTCTCCCTCGTCTCACGCTGCATCGTTTCAGTCCCCCAACAAACAATTTGTCACATACATTCAACCAAGAACATCCAAAGTTTCCGCACCGACGTTTCCGTGTTGTTGCACGTGAGAACGAAGCCGTCTAACAGAAGGTCCTTTGATGCCTCCTGTAACTAATGGCTCGTCGCGAAAGTGAGCCGGCACAAACCGTTAAGGGGCACGTATGACAAATCTGTAAAGCTTTTACAGTACACAGGCTTATCGCTTTTAATCCCGTAACACCTAGATTATTCTTAAAATACAATGTTTATTTTTGGACCCTGTTTACTGCTTTAAATCTTTTCATAAAAGCCTGTGTTACATAAAACTCTTTCACACACTCTTAGTTTCCACTGTACAAGGCAGAATGCTCAAAAAAGGAACGCTGGCTTCAGCTGAATTACTCAAAGACCTGGAAATACCAGTTTTGCACCAATGTCACTATTTTGATAAAAGGTATGATTTTTTTCTCTTACTGTGTTACTTGAATCATGTGCAATAAGCTCTATGTGTGCTAAAAGAGATGAAGTTTTGTCATACCATTAACTATCCAAAGTTAGATTGTAACTATCCCAGTGTAAGCCATGGGAGAAAGTAAAAAGAAAAACAGTTTCTAGGTAAGTCTCAGTATTCCTGTGCTTTGGGCTCTATGCTTTAACACATTCGGACAATAAATTGGAGGCAGAGCAACAGGCAATCGCGTGGTTAATTGGCACCGGAGTGGGAAGGGAAAATCAGAACTTTGAAAATCAGTGAAAGGGAAGAGCAATAAAAGGAATGGGACTGGCTGCTGATAAGGAAGGAGAGATTTGGTCACTGTTCTTTATCACAGCCAGTGAATGTCTGTCAAGTAGGTTGCTCTTATTAAAACCACCAAGGCACGTGGTGGAATTTGGGGAAATTTTAAAGTGCTTTAAAGGAACCTGTTTTTCATTGAAATAGTTACAAACCAAAACAAAGAAAATGTATAGCAATAGCTTTCCTTATTGTTCCATTTGCTAACAGGATCATTCCGGGTGCTGCACACAAGCGCACGAGCGTACACTTAGACTTCAGGTGAATGGTACCTAACGGGGAAGGGGCCAGTCATCCCCAGCTGAACCTTACCATGCGAAGGCACAGATACAGCTGCAAGCCACACTTCCTTTCCAAGATTAATTACTAGTAACACGTTTGCAGTATATCCAAGGTGATACGTCCGATTGTCATTCTTCTCCCTCAAACTACAAAACGCATCGGTCAAAAGTGAAGGGGAGCTGGGACGCATGGCATCTCGGAGAGGCTCGAGCTGCTCGGCACCCGCCTCGGTGCCCGGAGGGGCCGCCGGGTCCCACTCGCTTCACAGCCCGGGCCCTGCCAGTGCAGGCGCTGCGCCTCCTGCCCCTTCCGCGTGCCGCTTACAAGTGGTCCGTGCTGTGGTTTTGGCACCCGCGAGGGATGCGGGTTACTGCTGCCTTGCGTACGATGCAGCTCCGCTTGTGCGCGTGGCCCGTAAGTGCCAGCCACGTCTCGTGCAGAGCTCCTGGTCTGGAGCTGCCGTTTCCTTTGAACTGATTTAATTTTTGAAGTGTTACTCTGACGAGCGTATTGTTGCAGTACTGCATGGTTTTACGTTTATTTAAAATCTCTCCCTCTATATGCTTTAGTTATATCTGAATACTTCTGCTAACCACTACTAGAGCTCACGTTATGAAATCGTAATTTTACACACCATGCAAACCAGCAGAATCCCTCTGTGACGAGTGGGTTTTTTTATTTGACGGGCCCCAAGCTTTCTGCAAGTTCACAAATCCGTCCTGCAGTAAGCTCCGTGCTGCCTGATAAGCCCATCTAGCTGCAGCTCTTTGCATTTTTTGATGCGAGATTAAAAGTGACGCGATGTCTTTGTTACTGTACGCAGGCGTTCACACCACCCGCGGTCACACGGCCCTGCCCTTCCCCTGGACCTTCCTGCGCGCCGGGACATCGCGCAGCTGGGCGGTAAAGCAGACCAGGGTTAAACTCGACTGATTTTCTTGTCGCTGGGTCTAGTTGTAACCCAATCCAGTCCGCCGTGCAGCCATGGACATGCTTTGACAGGCACAAAGAAGGACGAGGCACAGGTGTGAAAATGAGCAGAACCGTCCCTCTCAGCCCCACCACTATCTTATCATGATCTCAGCGTGGAACTAGGATACCACTCTACTTGAAATCCCGCTTATAAATTAACATGTTGGCAAGCACGGCTGGGTAACACAAGCGGGCTTTTAACTGCTCACAAACTGTACAAGGAGGACCAGAAACGTATTTAAAATGCACAAGCGATCTCTTCATCGTACCGAATCGCAGCAGCCAGACCCAGGCCGATCTGTTTTATGCTCACAGTAAGGTCAAATCCATCTGAAGGAATAAAAGAGACCTCAAAAGACATAGCCTAAGAGTCTAGAAATTGCTATTCGTGACCCAGATTTCCACTGAAGAATTCCTGGAACTCACCCCTGTCCCACTTTTCCCAGCTTGTGCTTCCTGTGTTCTTCTTCAAGGGCCCCTATCATTGTTGGGTTTTTTTATTTTCACATTATTACATTTTTTGAATGTGTTTTCACAGGAAACTCAAAAAGCGAGTTAAACATCTGCTGCCTGAGATTGCACAGCGAGGAATTACACCCAGGCACTCCACGCAGCCTTCAGCTCGGCGGAGAACAAGACGGGGTTCGGTGTTTTTTTCTCCGACTCCCATCCAATTCCCCTCCCTGATCGCCGAGACGTGTCAGTGGGGAGCGTGGAGCAGGACCCGGCCTTGATCTCCACTACCAGGTGACGCAAGGGGATTAAGGAGCCATCTGCAGCGCAGACCGAAGCGGCCCTGTGATCGCGGGACGTGGGCTCACGCCGGACCCGCATCTCCTCGCACCGTCCGCCG